GCGTGCACTCTGCTTGTTTTCCCTATCAGGCAAACATTTGTCATCTTCTGGGCGTGGAACAGCGGTCACTGGAGGTGTGTGTGAGGGTATTTGTGAATTTCCTGCATTGTGCAGGGGGTTGGACTAGATGACCCTGGAGGTCCCTTCCAACTCTATGATTCTATGGAAGTATGCGTGTGGAAACCTTGCCACAGTGGCAGCTTTCAATGGAATCCTTCTCATATAGAATTTTATTTATTTACAAAAATGTATACCCCACCTCCCTGCCCTCATCAGGCCCACCAAAGTGGCTAGCAGATTAAAAGCTAAAGCGCACACACAAAAGCATAAAAACAACAATCAAAACAGGCAAAACCAGTCCCAGCTCAGTGACATGCCCACATTCCTTTCTTTTCTGGTGGCTTTTCTAGTGTCTGGAAAGCGCTACGGAAGGAGTCCGGTTGGCTGCTCGGATCGTCGACACCCCGTGCAATGAAATGAACACAGACAGCTTCCTGGAGGTTGGTGACACCTTTGGACTAGGGATGCGCATACTTTGAGTCCTGTGGCTGCGTCCGGGCCCAGCACAGATTTAAACATGCGGCATTCTTTGAATGGTGGCCCTTGAGTTTCAGCAGCAGGGCTCAGTGGTAATAGAGCATCAGCCTTGACTGCAGAAAGCCTCAGTTAAAGGAAATCAGATAACTGGTGCTGGAAAGAATCCCCCACTTCCTGAGACCGCCCCCAGAGGCCAGAGCAAACGATAGCCTGTAGATGGATGGACTAGTGATCTGCCTTAGTATAAGGCCATCTCATATGTTATGTGAACAGCAGTGGTGGTGGGGAATGTTGTCATTTCATGCTAGTTTCTATCTTGCTCCCTTCCTTGAAGGAAATCAGAAAAGTTGGGAAAGACTTGGGGATCGTTCCAACCGTTTTTCGCGATGCAGAGCTGAAGGAGAAAGGATTCGGAGGTCAGTCAATCAAAAAAAAAAAGTGATCCTAGCCCCATTTAGTCAATATTTTTTCAAAATTTTAATTGATTTTATAGACACAATATAAAACCGTGCAATAACAAGAAGTATAACAAGTATAAGGCTCTCGTTTATTTTATTTTATCAACTGCTCCCTGATATGTAGTCTGCTCAAATGACAGCAACAAGTCTTAGCTAAGGTTGTTATATAAGTGGAATGATTTAATAGCCCTGAGGAGTTTCCATTCCCGCTTAATTAGCACGAAAACATCCAATATGCACTGAGGTGCTTTTGTGGAGGGAAAATCCTGTGGAAAAATCTATAAGAGTCAGAGGACAGCTTAAACCACCGTAAATCATCAGCAAAGATAATAAAAGGATTTGGATGCTTCAGTGAAACAGTCAATGTTGAGCTATTCTGATTCTTTTTCCCCACCCAAGAATTTGGAACAGCTAAATATCCTCTTGAATGGCAGCATGGCGTACTGGCTAGAACATCATTGGGGAGTTTTTGTTGTTGTTCAGTCGCACAGTCGAGTCCGACTCTTCGCGACCCCATGGACCAGCTCCCGCCAGGCCCTCCTGTCTTCCACCGTCCTCTGAAGTTTGCTCAATTTCATGTTCGTTGCATTGATGACATTGGGGAGAGCCAGATTCAAATGCCGTACACAGCTGAGAAGTTTGGTGGCTGACCTTAGCCCGCCATTTCTCTGCCTAACCTACCTCACAGGGTTGTTGTGAGGGCAAAATATGGAAAGGAAGACCTGTGGCTTGCCTCCCAGAAGGCATGATATAGAACTTTATTTTTAAAAGAAAATAATGTTTTAAATGTTACATCCAGTGAGGGAGTGATTCTAGTCAAAACCCAAAGAACTCTTTAGGTCCTGGCTCTCGCAAGCACAGCAGGGTTTTCCCTGAAGTTTTATTATCCAACCACAGCATCCCAAGTGGCTCCTGAAGTTCCACCTGGTTTTGACCCTGGAGGGGGGACCTGAGGAGATTGTCTGGGTATGTGATGGTCCCACACAGATGTTTGGGGTGCAGCGATATGCTTCATTCTTCATCTGTGATGGTTTGTCTCTCTCCTTCTCCCTGTCAGAACAAATTAAAAAGTGGCATGATTTTATACATCTAGGGGGTTTCAATTCATCTGGAAGTTGGAAAGATCCAACGTCCAGAGCTTCTGAAGTCTCAGGTGGTACAAAAGCTTATATTTATTAAGTCACAGCCAATGTTCCCTCTAAGCTGTGGAGTCTTGTGAGCAAAAATTCTACTTTGTGAGCTACTGGCACTAAAGTTGTGAGCGAGCGACTTGGCTGCTGCATAACTTAGTTGGCTCTGGAGTCCTCCTTGCTGAGTTAAGACAAAAATGTATGAGCTGGAGGCTAAAAAACTGTGAGCTAGCTCACACTAACTCAGCTTAGAGGGAACACTGGTCACAGCTGACTTATGTTAACCCTATAAGGTCTTCAAGGCAAGAGACAAACAGAGGTGGTTTACCCTTGCCTGCCTTTGCACAGCAACCCTGGACTTTGTCAGTAGTCTCCCATTCAAGTACAAACCAGGGCTGACCCTGCTTAGCTTCTGAGATCTGATGCGAGTGGGCTAGTGTAGGCTATCCAGGTCAGGGGAATTACAGGGGTATAAAACCGTGCAGTCAGACAGCATAAAACAACCAATAAACTGTGCGCTTGGAGTAGGATTATACAACAGTGTGAACAACAAACTAGCTAAAGTAAAAGTGCACTATAAATAATACAGATAGTGGATTATATGGCAAAGGCAGTGCAGTAAAAGCAGATGATACCTACAGTAATCATGGCGGTCTGCAGTCTTATTCCCTTATAAAGACGCCCTCTTGGGCTGTTGCATTCTGCTGCATATTAGGAATCAGATGGGAACTGGGATATTAAGTAATCAGTACAGAGACAAGAATTCAAATAGTGAGCCATCTTGAGCCACAAGGGAAGGGTAGGGTAGAAAAATGTTTAAAAAAATAAAGAAATTACGAGTTCCTGGCAAGTTCAAATATTTATTTAATCTCAGGCTTGGAAGGGACTGCCAGGGTAATCTAGTCCAACCCCCTGCCAACGCATGAACTACAGCTACAATGTCCCCAACAAGTAGCTATCCAATCCAATGCTTAAAAATTGACAACAGCAAAGAACCATCTCACAATGGAGACTCCAGTAGCACCTTACAGACTAACACAATTTGTGTTACGAGTTTTCATGAGTCACAAAAGCTCCTACCCTGCCATAAATTTTGTTAGTGTCTAAGGTGCTACTGGACTCTTTCTCTTTGCTGCTGCTACAGACAGACTAACATGGCTACCCATTTTGATCTGTCCACAAGGGAGACTGTTCCAGTGTTGAATGCACCTCACCGTCTGCAATTTCTTCCTAAAATTCATATGAAACCTTTTTTGCTGTCGTTTATATACAATAGTCCAAGTCCTTTCATCCAACACAGCTGAAAACATCTGCCCCATCCTCTAGGTGGCATCCTTTTAGGTATCAGAAGGTGGCAATCATATCACCTCATAAGCATCTCTTCTCCAGTGTAGAGAGAGATTCCCAGATCCTTCAATAACGATCTCAAGCCTTTTTCTATTTTGCAGTCTCTGCATTTATCCCGAACGTAGTGGGGTTCTCAGCTTCTCCTTCCATTCCCAGGTATCTATGGCGTTGGCAAAGCAGCCGTGCACCCACCAGCTATAGCTGTGCTCAGTCATACCCCGGAAGGTGCCACACAGACCATTGCCTGGGTTGGGAAAGGCATCGTCTACGACACTGGAGGACTCAGCATTAAAGGGAAGGTAGGTTTCTCTAGACTATTCCTTCAGGAGATGAAGCAGTGTTCCAGGTAGCCACAGTTCTGAGAGCAAGATCTGTAGCGTGCCTCCCATTGTAGGTGTTAATTCTTAGATTATAATAGCAAGGGCTGGCCTTCCCCCGTTCTGGGTTTTATACCAATATCACCCAAAATGGAGCCAACCATGGCTTCATTTTGGATTCTGTAAACCTGAGGACATCCCCAAGTTTGCAGGAAAATCTGCTGTGTTAAAAACAACAACAACTTGGGCCCAACCCTCCACACACACACACACACTATGTTGAGAGTGATGTCCGCAAAAGAACAACACTCACTGCGACGAATAAAACCTTAACGTATTCTGCCAAAAGTATACATGTATCCAATGCATACATTACATTAACAAATCTAATTTCCAAGTTTTCATCATATATTTGAGGATCTTATATAACTATATAATTTATTTTCTAACCGAAATCCTCAGAATGATAAATTGTAACGCAGTATTTGTGGGGTATCTTCACAATCCAGTATTCTGTAGTTACTCTCTATTGAATTGTACACAATCGTCTTGAGAATAAATTCTCACTAACAATAAATTCTAATACTTCAACATGTATCAGTTGTATGACGATCAAAATCCATTTATAAAGAATCCAGTTTAAGGACTTTTAAGCCTGTGAGCAGCTTCAGAATTCTGACAGAAAGTGGTGGACGCGATCACAAAATGGCTGCTAGAAGAGGTGGAACTAGCTGCGACATGTCAGAGAGTGAAGGTTATACATAATTCCAGTAGTAACTCTTCAACATTTCAGGCAGAACCTCTGTTTAACATAATGCCTTTTAACATGACCATATTGTTTTAAAATATTTTCTTGCATGCACACAGCTTACCTTTCAGGGTTCTTTTTGTAGCTGGAACTCCTTTGCATATTAGAGGACACACCCCTAATATAGCCAATCCTCCAAGAGTTTACAGAGCTCTTCTTACAGGGGCTACTCTAAGCTCTTGGAGGATTGGCTACGTTAGGGGTGTGTCGCCTAATATGCAGAGGAGTTCCTGTTACAAAAAGAGCCCTCATGGTGAAGATCCTTGTGCTCTGGCGGCAGCTGCCGCTGGACACTTTTTTAAAAAATCCGAACCGCCAATCAGATCTCCAGTGGCCAATCCAAAGCCCTGCAGGGAAAAAGCCCCATCTGGCCCCACCCAGTTTTTAAAAGCACCTGGCAGGTGCCAGGAAATGTGTCGGCTAGCCCCACGGTGTCCGTGGGCGACACACTGGGGACTCCTGATTTCCAGTGTACATAATGCTTGCAAAGTGATCTTTTTTTTTGAAATGTACAACAGTGCCATCCTAAGCAGAGTTACACCTTTCTAAGCCCAACTTCAATGGATTTAGAAGGGATTAACTCTGCTCAGGACAGCACTGTAAATGTCGGGGTGCCAGGCAATGTTCCCTCTAAGCTGTGGAGTCTTGTGAGCAAAAAATCTACTTTGTGAGCTGCTGGCATTAAAGTTGTGAGCGAATGATTTGGCTACTGAATAAATTAGTTTGCTTTGGAACCCTCCTTCCTGAGCCAAGACAAAAATCTGTGAGCTGGAGGCTAAAAAACTGTGAGCTAGCTCACACCAACTCAGCTTAGAGGGAACACTGGTGCCAGGGAAGCGTGATGTGTGTAGACGTATGATCATTGTTACAGCGGCTGATCAGAAGGTGTTTTCTTAAGCATTTAAGAGCTTCCGTTTAGCAGCTATGACCCTAGCCCACTCAGAGTAAATTCATGGTATGCTAAAGTCTGGGAATTATGCGTGATGGACAAAATTGCAGATAGTGCAGGGTTGACTAGTAATTTTTGGAAGCATCTTTTTTTACTCAGCTTGATAGCACGATCCCAAATTCCTCAACGTTTTTATGAAATAGTCATTTGTAACAATTTGCATAGTTCTGTATTCAACTTGGAAGGCTTTATTACTACAATGTTAATCTATGCTGTTGTCCTTATATGTTGCCTTTAGATTTTTAAGTCGCTGTCACATAAGCTCCCTTTTTTTCTATTATTGCCCATTATTGTTCATGATCGATGTTGTTTTCATTGTTTGCTGTTTACTATAAATTGTAATGGTGGTTACTCTTTGAAAATGTAATAAAAACTATTTCAAAAAAAGAGCTTCCGCCGGGATTTGAGGACGATACAAGTCTCATTTCCTGACTGGCTAACTGCAGCTTTGAGGGCTGATTCAATCCAAGTCCTCTTCTCAATCATAGTCGTTTTTTAGCATAAGGAAAACGTTAGGAGATCTGATCACAGAGTTAGTTGCAGGTGGGAATTAGGACTGAGCCTTTTTGCCGTGGACGTTACCTGCATCACTTCCTGTGGTTCTGCTTGTTTTGACTAGACGACGATGCCTGGGATGAAACGGGATTGTGGTGGAGCAGCTGCTATTTTGGGAGCCTTCAAAGCCACCGTGAAGCAAGTAAGAACAGTGAACGTCTCAAGCACGGTCCTAATTTGATCGAACTGTAGATGAGTTTGTCGGGCCATTTTAGCAATTAATACAGTTTGTTCTGTACCCCTGTCTTTTGGACTCTCCGAAAATGGACTGAATCAGAGGAGGTGATAGAGCCTAGGGAGAACATAAGAACATAAGAGATGCCAATGTTGGATCAGGCCAAAGGCCCATCCAGTCCCACACAGTGGCCAGAAATACCAGGTGCCAGCAGGAGGTCCACCAGTGGGGCCAGGACACTGTTGACCCCCCCCCCCAAGCACCAAGAAGACAGAGCATCACTTGCCCCAGAGCCCCTATCTATATCTTGTGGCTAATAGCCACTGATGGACCTCTGGAGGGGGTGGGGCTCAGTGGAAGAGCCTCTTCTTTGTATGCAGAAGGTCCCAGGTTCAATTCCCCAGCATCTCCAGGTAGTAGGTGACATGAGAGACCATAATCTGAGACCCTAGAGCAGGGGTGTCGAACATAAGGCCCGGGGGCTGAATCAACTGGTACAAGGGAGGGAGTGCTGGGGGGAGTGGGCGGAGCCACTCCATTGTGGCTTCATCACAGCAGAACAGCCTCGTCTGCAGCCGTCAAGCATCATGGGAGTGTCTGCCCAGCGCTGCACTGCTGCCTCTCCAGTCCGCCTATGTGGGTTTTCCTCTGCACACACACACACACCCCAGCCCATGGGGCCTTGCAGTGAGGACACACCAACTTGGAGCTTACCAGTCGCTGTCCTTTATAAAGTTTCTATCTCTGGTAGCAGGCATTACATTTTATGGCACACATGTCCCGGCCCAACAAAGTGATATTTATGTGAGATCTGGCCCTTGTAACAAATGAGCTTGACACCTTTGCCCTAGAGAGCAGCTGCCAGTCCGAGTAGACAATACTGACCTTGATGGACTGGTGGTCTGGTTCACTATAAGGCAACTTCATACATGTTTGTTTGAGCTGAAACAGCCCGTGATGTTTTGTGAAGATGATTGCTGGTACATCAGAGCACAGAGGACTGAATCTGTTGCTATTGGGGATATTTAGCTTTTGAGGATTATCTATCGAAAGCTTAGGAGCACAAAAAGTAATCTTTCCTACCTTGCTTAAGTGTAGGCATCAGACTGGATTCTCCTGGGCTAGTCACATGTTTTGATTTCCCCGTTTCTAGAATATGTTCTTTGTGCTATGACCTCTCAGAACTAGAACATTTTCAGATGAATCCACGAGCGTCAAAGCAAGCCTTGTAGCTCTGGGGAGCATAGATCATAGAACCATAGAGTTGGAAGGGACCTCCAGGGTCATCTACATGGCCTTCTCCATTGTGGCCCCCAACTTATGGAAATGGCCTGCCTGGGGAGGTCAGGAAGGCTCCCCCCCCCTTCCTGGCTTTCTGCAAACAATGCAAAATTGAATTGTTCAAGAGAGCTTTTCTACCCAGGCAATAGGGTAGCACTGTACAAAAGGCTTCACAAAGTTACTTACCGTAGATAAATTATTGAGGACTGTGTTGCCAGTGCTCCCCCTAAGCTGTGGAGTCTTGTGAGCAAAAATTCTACTTTCTGAGCTACCGGCATTAAAGTTGTGAGCGAGTGATTTGGCTACTGCATAAATTAGCTTGCTCTGGAGCCCTCCTTCCTGAGCGAAGACAAAATTGTGTGAGCCGGAGGCTTAAAAACTGTGAGCTAGCTCACACTAACTCAGCTTAGAGGGAACACTACTGCGTTCTGTACTATCCTTTGCTGTGGGTTGGCTCCTGTTGTGTAATTTTGCATCATTTAATGTGCCATGTTAACACTTAACGCTTTGCTTCAGTTCTGTTTTTAGGCACCTGGTTGGTTCTACAACCCAAATCCTATTTCATTGCTTATTGAATGTCCCATCTTGCTAATTGTATTGGCTCACTCTGTGTAATCAGTCTTGCGTCCCAGTGAGAAAGGAGGGCTATAAATAATGTAAATAAATATTCTGTTGCCACAGATTGCTGCCACTGCTGGTCCCTTGCCCTGTGCAGATGAAGAGTGTCTCAGGCTGATGTTTGCCCCTGTGGATCAGTGAAGGTCTCAGGCTGTAAGCCAGAGGCCAAGAGCCTTTTGACTCTTGCCCTTTGGCTCCTGCCTCCAGCAGGCTCAGAGCTTCAGAGGTGTATCTGCAGAGGGGCAGAACAGAACTGTAGTCCAGTTGTTTAGTGGATTGGCTTCCTGCCACGTGCATGTGAGGCCTAGGCAGAGAGCCAGTTTGGCGTAGTGGTTAAAGACTGGCGGACTATACTCTGGAGAACTGGGTTTGATTCCCCACTCCTCCTCCACATGAAGCCAGTTGGGTGACCTTGGGCCAGTCACAGTTCTCTCAGAGCTCCCTCAGCCCCACCTGCCACACAGGGTGTCTGTTGTGGGGAGAGGAAGGGAAGGCAATTGTAAGCCGCTTCAAGACTCCAGTCACCCCCCTACCAAGCCCGAAGAGGCGGACGACAGCAGCCTCTATTAAAGTTCAGGTACCTACAAATAAGCCAGGAGCTAGGCATGCAGGCTCTGTGTGGAGTTATATGTTGCCTCTAAGTGCTTCCCAGACAAAGAAGGAAGGAGGGCACTTTGAGAAGCCACATTTTGAAATACTGTGACCAACCGGGTGGGAAAGAATGCCGCCAGGGAAATTCCATTCTCACAGTAAATCCTGCTGCTGTGAATCCTGTTGGCAGCCCTGGGGGGGGGGTGTCCTCCCGCCCTCTGAAGTATCCAAAGCTCTCAAACCATTCCCTGAAGTGATTTAATGGACAGTTGGTCAGCCAGAGATCTGGTCAGGAGGCAATCAAACGCTGCTAAATTAGTGTTTCCCAGGACAACAGCTTGAAATGGATACTGGACGGAGATTTCCTGTGTACCAAATGTGTCTGGTTTTTATAGGCTGGGACAAGCCTCCTCAAGTAAAAACTTCCCGACTAAAAACCAAAGACTTTTAAGAGGCATGTTTTTTTCATTTTTAAATTAAGCTTAAATGAAAACGAGGGTCATGATGGTGTGTTTGGGGTGCAAGTAAAATTCAATCTAGTGTTAACTAGACCATCGCAGAACTGGTCCAGTTTTTTTAACTGGCTGCCTCTGCTGCTGCTGTGAGGTCATTTCAGAGGGTAGCCGTGTTTGTCTGCAGTGGAAGAGCTAGATTCGAGTCCAGGAGCACCTCGGGGTATGGATTTTCGAGAGTCAACGCTCCCCTCGTCACCTCTGACAAAGGGAGCGTTGACTCTCGAAATCTCATACCCTGAAAATCTGGTTGGTCTCTAAAGTGCTCCTGAAGTCGAATCTAATTGTTATTCGCTGCGGTGGCTCAAGTGGTTAAGACGCTGAACTGCAGGCTGTGGAAGGTTGGTAGTTCAGCAGTTTGAGACCCGAGTGTGCCGCATGACGGAGTGAGCTCCCGTCTCTAGTTCCAGCTCCTGCCAACCTAGCAGTTCGAAAGCAAGAAATTGCAAGTAGATAAATAGGTACCACTTCGGTGGGAAGGTAACAGCGTTCCGTGCACCTTGGTGTTTAGTCATGCCGGCCACATGACCACGGAAACGTCTTCGGACAGCGCTGGCTCTTCGGCTTTGAAACGGAGATGAGCACCGCAACCCTAGAGTCGGACTCGACTGGCTTTCGAGCAAGGGAACCTTTACCTTTACCTTTAAGTATCCTTTCACAGAGGTGTTGTAAGGATGAAATGGGAAAGGGAAAACCACATATACCACCTTGAGCTCCTTGGAGAAGAGAGGAATAAAAACGAACCAAATGGAAAAGGGAAAGAGCGAAATTTCGGGCTTGCAGTTTTGTAGAAAGAAGGGGCTTGTATAATAACTTTTTGGAATTGGTATTTTCATGAACCAACCCTATGTGTGTTTTAGGGTTGCTGGGTCCTACCTGGCTACTGGGGGGGGGGACTCCCGACCTTTCCTTGAGTTCTTCTGGTGTGCGTGCCCTGCTGTGACGTCACTCGGAAGCTGCATCTTCGTGTTTCCGATATTGGGGGTGACGCTGTAGGATTTGAGCAAAACTCTATGGTCTTGGGGGGCTCAAAGCCCCGGGTGATGTCATCGCACCATCACCAGTGGTGCCGGGAGGGGGCTTCTCGGGGTGGGGCTTCCCCCACTTGCCAGCTGGGCCACAGCGGATTGGGGCCTCCGGAATCGGGGGATCCCCTGGCCCCACGGGGGGAATGGCAACCCTAGTGTGTTTTGATATATATTAGAGCCTTATGAAAAAAATACCATTATATTTTAACTTGTACGTGTCTTTCTGTTTAACTGACCTATTTAATATTATCATGCATTATTTCCCTAAATCTGTCATTGTGTACGATGAAGATACTGCATTCTTCAGAGCTGTCTTTGAAAGTAATAACTAAAAGAAAAGTGAGCTTCTTAGCTGAATGGGAGTATAAACCTGGATCTTCCATATCTAAACTTGTGCTATTTAACCTGACACAACTAAAGCTCCTTATTAACCATTTGAACACTAATTATTCCAGTGCAGTGATCTGCAGTATTTTGCATAGTTTCCAAGTTTTTGGGACAAGTTTTTTTGTACACTTAGGTTTTACTTGATAGTCAAACTGTTTCCTAAGTTCTGTTGAATCGTGCCTACTTTATCTTCTCTTAATGTAATAGGGCTTTAAGGACAATCTCCATGCTGTTTTTTGCTTGGCCGAGAATTCAGTTGGACCGAATGCGACGAGGCCTGATGATATCCATATTCTTTACTCGGGAAAGTAAGTAAAATAACTGGGTTGGATCCAGCCGGCTTTTTTGCTCAGTCCATTTAATTCCCCCTCCTCACTACAGCAGGAAAGGAGTTTGTAAGCCGCTCTGAGACACCTTTGGGTAGTGAAGGGCGGGATATAAATCCAATCTCTTCTCTTCTTCAGCACCCATCCTGCATGGCTTTTTGTCTGGGCCTGTCCCATTCTCCCCAGTATAAGTTTTTCGGTGGTCTAAGGGCCCCCACCTCTTCTTTCCTCACCAGTGGAAAAGCTGGTTGGATCCAACCCATTCTCTGTGTGTATGTGATTATTTTATTTATTTATTTATTATTTAGATTTCTATCCCGCCCTCCCCGCAGGCTCAGGGCGGCTAACAGGGCATAATGCCAGATAAAACAATAAAACAGTATAAAATGTTAAATTACACATAGACAATTAACAAACAGTTAAATAACATCCTAAAACAATTTTGGTGCTCCTCTATTCGATTCCAGATGTTAAGATTTTTAAAAGCAAGATGGCGTTCTCAGTAACATTGCTAGACAACTACAGCAGTGCATATCCCACTGCCCTACCGTCCCCTAAAAGACGTCCCGTTCCCTCCAATGATGCCCACATCAAGATGGCAATATGTGGCCTGAACGACACTTAAAAAAAATAAATTGGAATGATAAAGATATGAATTGGTTACTTGGGGGGGGGGTGTCTGTGTACCTTTTAGGAGGACTGCCCCCTGGATACCCTGATCTTGAACTTTGCACGATGACGTGCCTGTGACTATCTGGAAGCAGAAGTCTTGACCTCCTTAGTCTTGGGGAAGGATTCGTATGCAATAGGGAGCTGCGTGTGTAAAGCATTCCCATCCAAGACGATGCCTGTGCTTTGGGGCTCCTTTCAGTTTGCTGGGTTGAGGCTGTGTGGAATATTCCCTAGTTTTGATTTTCACCTTGAAACATGCATCTAATATGCAGGATTTTTGGACAGTCTTCTGCTGGAGCTTTTCATGCCTAGTCCCCACACACACACACACACACACATACACAGTTCCTTTTTCCTCTTGACTTCTACACACAGATTTCCTCCAGTAGGATCACGTTTATCTGTGTGCCCATTGCGCCATCCAGGACATCTTTAGGAGGGGAACCAGAAAAAGGGAGGAGTGTCGTTTTTGAACTAAGCAACAGAGGAAGTTGAAATGAACAGATTCAGCTCAAGATTGGGTAGCTACGTTAGTCTGTGTGTAGTAGTAGAAAAGGGCAAGAGTTCTTGCCTGCCACGTGACCACGGAAACGTCTTCAGACAGCGCTGGCTTTTCAGCTTGGAAACTGAGATGAGCACCGCCCCCTAGAGTTGGATTCAACTGGCTTTCGAGCAAGGGAAACCTTTACCTTTAAGTAGCAACGTCAGTCTGGGGAGATTTGGTAGGCTAAAGAGGGATGGATGAGCGTATGCGCATTGCCTGAAATGTTGCCTGTGTTAACAACATTGCCCCTGCCCTTTTTCCAGGACTGTGGAAATCAACAACACTGATGCTGAAGGCAGGCTGGTGCTTGCGGATGGAGTTTCATATGCCTGCAAAGACTTGGGGGCTGACATCATTCTTGATATGGCCACTCTCACTGGGGCTCAGGTACTTGTGTGCAAACCTTAAGTGCCCCTGTTATTGCTAACCATCTCCAGCTGTGATCTCTACATCTGGTATTTCATCTCTATGCTCTTCCGCTTTCTCATTTTCATCACTTGTGTGTTCCTATTGCTTGGGGGGGGGTTGTTCTTTTTTGCATGTATTTTACTCCCTCTAGTGGTCAATTCTATATTACATCGCCATATATCTGGCGTAAAAACCTGCAATTTTAAGTCTGCAGGGAAATATGCTGGACATACAGAGATGTAATATTGAATCAGCCACTAGAGGGAGCAAAACACATGAGGAAAAGGAAGGGGGGAACCCCCCCAAAGCAACAGAGATACACAAGCAACAAAAATGAGAATGTGGAAGAGCCCTCTGTGTGACAGAGTCTCAATAAGGTAATGTAGAAAGCTGTTGAGAAAGAGAGCTGTAGAAATAGCTGGGCATAGTAGCTCTTCAAGAGATTGAGCCAGGGCCAGCTCGAGGTGTTTCTGCGCCCTAGGCGAGGCTGCCTTGTGGCGCAGATGCCAACCTCCTGGTGGGGCCTGGAGACCTCTGGAGTCAGCCACCCTTTTGCTACCGCCACCACCGCCTCCCCCCCCCCGCAGCTGTCAGACCCAGCGAGCACGCCCCACATGTTCCTGCAGTGCCCTCCACGATGGAAGAGAGATTTCTCTCGTGCTCCGCTTCCAAAGGCAGTTTGGGAGGGAGGTGGGGGGATCCTGTCTCCAGGCGTGGGATGCTCACCGGATGCCTCTCCCCAATTAGCAAAGTGCTGACACTTGGAGAGCTGCTTGCGGGCTTTTGGCGGGGGGGGAGGAACAGCTCGGCGCCCCATCCAGGGCCCAGCACTCTAGGCGAATGCCTAGTTCGCCTAGTGGGTGAGCCAGCCCTGGATTGAGCCATAGCCCTTCTTGGAATGCCAGGAGACTGCTTTTCAGTGGGCAGAGTTAAGGTGATAATTGCACCCACAGAGAGATTATTTGGGAATTTTAACGTGATGGAATTCGAAGGTGGTAATTACTAGTTTATGAAATGTGTCTTCCCGCCTATCGGAGTGGCAGTTTCTTCTCAGCCCTGTGAATTAGGTTCTGTGAGGAGGCAGTGACTTTCCCAGCATCACCCAGTGAGGTTCAACGAGGAGCAAGGAATTTCTTTCCCATGTGTAAGCCCATGCTTTGTGCTCTGCCCCACTGTGGCTGAGCACTGATCTGCCACCTAGTGCCATATGTACTGCAAAATGCTTGTGCAAGAATGCTTGTGCATTGCAGGCAGTTCTGGGATATGTTCTAGATAGACTCACTCGGTCAGTGCAAAAACACTGGCCAGGCCTGTTGAGCTTCACTTTTGTATTGCAGGAACCAGGAGCATATCCCAAAATGCACCCTATGCTTTCAGTCTTGTTGTCTGATTCAAATGCCGATGGACTGATAACAGCTAACATGGCACAGTTCCTGGCTAAGGTTGCTGCTCTCAAGAAACACTGAAAGCTTTATCATCTCTGCAAACACCTGTACCGATTTTAATCTTTGGAGGATTTTAGTTAGTTGGCTCCACCCCAAGTGTAGTTAATTCTCTGGGCTATGCCTGGGTTTTATATGTTTACTGATTGTGACTATGTACTTGTCATATTTTATGTCAATTTTATATACCTATTTTACCCCTTTTGCATTCTCTGTTGGTCAAGACTTCGGTTATATAGACCCATAATAAATTGAATTGAATTGAATAGAAAATGCACCCTAAATACATGATGATATGACGCTGTCTTAGACCCTTGGTCTGTCAAGGTCAGGGCTGTCTACTCTGACTGGCACCGGTCTCCAGGGTCTCAGGTAGAGGTCTTCCGCATCACCTGCTACCTGATCCTTTTTTAACTGGAGATGCTGGGGATTGAACCTGGGACCATCTGCATGCAAAGCAAATGCTCTGCTGCTCAGCCGTGGCTTCAGGGGAAGGCCATTGGTGGCCAGTCATCTTTCAGGAAAGCTTGGCTGCCATTACAGGTCTGCTTCTTGAGGATTTCTGAATAACCTGCCAAAGAATGCAACAATTTTTTTTGGAACGCAGTTTGAAAACTACAGGGTTACATGCCAACTGCGAACCCCCACCTTAGTGGAATGTGTTTTCACACCTCCAGATGTTAAAAACGACAGGAATATAAGCGTGAATGAAGTCTATAGACTGCCAGCCCTTTTAGTGATATTGTCTCCTGTGTTTTTGTTGTGTTTCTTAACACTAATGATTTTGTGCCATCGAGTTGCAGCTGACTGATGGTGACCCCGGGACTGTGGGATTTCCAAGTCAAGAGATGAGCAGAGGTGATTTGCATTTGCCTTCCTCTGAATGGCAGTCCTGGACTTTGCTGGTCTCCCATCCAAGTACTAACCATGGCTGACCCTGCTTAGCTTCCGAGATCTGTCGAGATTGGACTAGTCAGGGCTATTCAGGCGGCTACGTTCCTTAGTTTGTGTCAGCATTCCCTTTTGCCGACCAAGTGGCAAGGGAGAAAGGAGTGGGGCTTGGAACAGGAGGAAGGGCCACAGGCAAACGGAGGGTGTCACCTTCGGAAAAAGATGGGTAGCTGTGTTAGTCTGTCTGTAGCAGTAGAAAAGAGCCAGAGTCCAGGAGCACCTTAAAGACTAACAAACTCTGTGGTGGGGGTAGGAGCTTTCGTGAGTCACTGCTCACTTCTTCAGTCTTTAAGGTGCTGCTGTCAGGCTTCCCCACAGCATCAATGAAGTACACTCTTGCAGGAAGGTTTTAATTTATTTGAAGCTATAGGTGCATGTACAGGATCACTGTTAGGAATGAGGGGAGTGCAACGAGCATGGCAGGTTATAGTACATTCAAACAGCTAAGGCCCAATTGCGGGACTTCCCCTGCATGCCATCGGGCCTGGGAGCAAACGCTTCTAGGAGACATAATCTATCTCCTTCCCACGGCCCATCGTGAGATCACCCAAGCAACTATCCAGCAGCAACCACCTGTGGCCTTGAGAGATATGGACGTTCCAGCAGCTAAGCAATTAAGCACATCAACAGGTCTACATATGAAAACGAAAGCAAGCAAGCGCATACATGGTACAATCAACAGAAAGGAAATTTGGCAGTCCCTGCCCTTGGACTCTTATTCTTTTTGACCTTCAGGGGGAAAAGCCAAACATAGGCTGGTAACGACAAGTTGCCACATTCTGGCATGTGGCAGCTCTGGCTCTGGCTGGGAGGGAAGGGTAAAAGCCAAATAAACAAACAAGCATCACAGCAGAAGTCTTCTGTGACTTTAAACGCCTGAGCACCAGAGAAGTCTTAAAGTAGCTCTGCATAGTTTTACCAGCATTTATCTATCTCACTTTCTCTCAAGTTCCATGTTTTCCCTCTCTTTTCTCCTGCTAGGGAATTGCCACAGGGAAATACCACGCGGCCGTCCTCACCAACAACGAAGAGTGGGAAAGGGCATGTGTGAAGGCTGGCAGAAACTGTGGAGATCTGGTCCATCCTCTCGTCTATTGCCCTGAACTTCATTTTAGCGAATTTACCTCAGCTGTAGCTGACATGAAGAACTCTGTGGCGGTAGGTTTACCAGGCTTCCTTTTAAATGATTCCTTTGCCGAATGCAACTGCTGGACTGTGTCTGAGGTATCTCGTTTGAGGTGTGTTCATTCACCTCACTCAGCCATGTCGGGCATTTATTTGCTCAATTATTTTTTATCATCCTATTGGTTTCTCTTGGGGGCCATTTTGTACGTTGCTTGAAAGGAAGAGGAGGTGGAGAAGATGTTTTTTTAAAAAAACTCTTCCATATACACAACTGTACTAAAGCTTCTTTTTTTTTTTTTAAGTGGGAAGACTTTAATTAGAAACTGCAAGAAGAGAAGGTTTGACCCTGCTTCCACATGAGTGTGGTGATGGGCTCAATTTAAAGTATTGGCTATGACATACAAAGCCCTGCATGGCCTTGGACCCTCATATTTGCGACACCACCTCTCCTCCCATGCACCACCACAACAACTTTGCTCATATGAGCAAGGCCTTCTGCAGAAGCCAGCCCGCAAATGGGCCTGTACCCATGGCCTTCTCTGTTGTGGCCCCCACCTTATGGAATGGCCTGCCTGAGGAGATCCAGAGGGCTCCCATTCTCCTGGCTTTCTGGAAACCATGCAAAACTAAATTATTCAGGAGGGCTTTTCTACGCAGGCAATAGGGTAGCGCTGTACAAAAGGCTTCACAAAGTTACTTGGATAAATTATCGGGCCTGAGGTCTGTACTAGTGTGTATAGCCTTCTGACACGAGGGGCTCTTTTTGTAGCAGGAACTCCTTTGCATATTAGGCCACACATCCCTAATGTAGCCAATCCTCCAAGAGCTTACAGAGCTCTTCTTACAGGAGCTACTGTATGCTCTTGGAGGATTGGCTACAGTAGGGGTGTGTCGCTTAATATGCAAATGAGTACCTGCTACAAAAAGAGCCCTGCGCAGTAATTTTTGTATCATTTAATGTGTCTTGTTAAGACTTCTGCTTTGCCTTCAGTTCTGTTTTTTAGATTTCTGGTTGGTTCTACAGCCCTGATCCTATTGTATCATTTATCGACTATCCCCCCCCCCCCCCGCTTCTGTTGACCCGACTCTGTGTAATCTGCCAAGAGAAAGGCGGATTATAAATTACGTAAATAAAAATGATGTAAATAAAACAAATAAATAAATGGTGCGGTTTAGGTTGCACGAACAGAGAAGCATTGTATCCAGGACACAAGAAGTAATACTTGAGTCCACACTGGCCAGGCCCCAAGTGGAGTGCCGTGTCCCGTTCTGAGCACTGACTTTAAGAAGAATGTCGGCTAACTGGGATGGGTTCAGGCGTGGGCAACAAGGACGGTCAGCGGGCTAGAAAACCTGCTATGAGAGGTTGAGGGAAATGGGTATGTTTATCTCGGGGAAGAGAAGAATAGAAGGGGTGTGATGTGATGTGGTGTGACTGTGCTCTCCCACTGTTGTCCCATGGAAGAGGGCGAAGGCTTGACGGCCTTAAGATTTAGGAAGGCAGGTGTCAGTTTAATGTCGAGAGAAATTTCCAAATGGCAAGAGCGGTTTGACAATGGAACCAGTTATCTGGGGAGTGGGCCTCTCCCTTACTGGAGGCTTCTGAGCAGTGGAGGAACTGTTTGCTCTCCATCCGGGATAATTCTCATTTGTTTGTTTTTAATTAATACCCCATTTTCCTCCTTCATGGGGACCCAAAGCAGTTTATCATACCATTCTCCCCTCTCCCACCTCATCCTCATGACAGCGGTCCTGTGAGGTGGGTTAGGCCAAGAGAGTGTGACTGTCCCAAGGTCACCCAGCAAGCTTCCATGACAGAGCAGGCATTGAAGTCCAGTCGACCCAGGTTCTAGTCTGACAGTCTCTAGCCGCTACGCCACACTGGATTTGGATTTCCTGCACTGAACAAGGGGTTGGACCTGTAGGTCCCTTCCAGTTCTAGAATGCTATTAACGGATGCCTGTTGCTGATGCCCCTTTGAAAAGATGGCATGCTGGCAATTTGCCCTGTGTGCCGTCTGAGCGGCCCACAAGCCAACTCGATGAAGTCCTTTGTGGAGAAAGGCAAGCTAAAAATAGGACAAATTCCAGGAGATTTGGGGATGGTGTCTGGGGAGGGTAGAGTTTGGGGAGGATGTGGTGTCATTTCTGGGTGATGCTGTATGCTGCCTCCCCAGTCTCTGTGGTCTTTACCATAGAGATGGGGAAATTCCTAGAGCGTTGCTATACGGAGGCCATTTTTTCTCTCCTACTCAGTTCCTCAGAGGTGGGAAATGGAGGCTGGCGGCTAGCAATTCCCTGCCCTGGGCAGGTCAATGGGGAACCTAGCTAAAATAAATAAAACTGTCTGTGTAAACGTCTGCACTGCTTTACATGATACAAGAGGGTGCTGTATAGAACTTGGTTGCTCCTGCACCTCTTCTGTAGAAGCAAAACTCAGCATCCCACCTGCACACCTTTGGGAAGCATGCCCTTTGGGGGGAAAAACTTCTTACTCAAGCAAATGTCTTTCTCCTGTTTCCTCCAGGACCGTGATAACTCCCCAAGTTCTTGTGCTGGACTCTTCATCGCTTCCCACATTGGGTTTGACTGGCCCGGCATCTGGGTCCACATAGATATTGCAGCACCAGTCCATGCAGTGAGTACCATCCCTCATGAATACGCCCCACGGGAAGAAGCCTGCCTTTCTCTCTGGGGACTTTTGCTAACTCAGAGGCTTGGAACTCCCACAGGCATCTTCCTGCCTTTATACAACCTGCAGCGTCTCTTTCTTTCCTGCAACTTCTTCACAACCTTGCTGTTCTTTTAGGTTGTACAATTCAGTGCTCTTTAACCCATGGGTTGGGACCTTCGGGTGGGTTGCAGGGCCCCACCTGCTGGGCCACCAGCCCCTTCAGAGCTGCAGTTTGGAAGGACTTGCCGCTAGTGTGCATGTACAGAGAGATCAAAGCCCCCACGCCGGCTGTGCTTCCTTGCACACAGGCTAAGAAGCAGCAGGGACAGTGAGGTGAGAATCCCTCCATGCCGTGACCTTTGGCTTGTTCCCACAATGATACCCGGTAGAGACAGTAACCCACCTGTTCACCAGACATGCGGGGAGGGGAGAGTAGGCTTGATCGTGTGAACCCTGCCCTCCCGGCACAATCACTTGGTCGTCTCCCAGTGTGGCCGCATAGAGGAAGTGGCTGCATGTACGTCCCCACCCTGTCGTCAGTACTGCTGCTTTCCAAACATTTCTGATCATGGAGAGGGCAAGTTTGTACCGCCCCTTTCTTCACACGGCGGCCCTTGCAGACGACCAGGTGGCCGTGCAGAGGCAGGGGGCAGGGCCGGCGTCCTTGCATTTGCTCCTCCTCCCCATCCATTCAGCGAGCGCACGGGGCTGCCATCTCTACTGGGTTCTGGTACTCAGACTGCACCTCCCATCACTGACTGCCCGTGGCCCTGGCCTTGACGTCCCAAGTTTGGTTCCCTCTCTTCCTGTCAGGTGATTTATTGTCACATGCTTGCAGTTCAGTGGGTCCCATGCTACCATCGAAGGGCTCAAGGTCTGGGAAGGCTGAAGACCCCTGTGATAAAGCACCTGATCGTTTGTTTTTTCCTCTTGGTAATGCCCATTGCAGCCATAATAGCCCAGACTAGCCTGATCTCATCAGAAGAGAAGAAGAAGAGGGGGTGGGGAGGAGAAGGTTGGACTTATACCCCGCCCTTCACTTGGCGTCTCAGAGCAGCTTACAAACTCCTTTCCCTTCCAGTCCCCACAACAGACACCCTGTGAGGTAGAGCACATAGGCTAAGCAGGGTCGGTACTTGGATGGAAGACCACCAAGTAACATTGGAGCCGCCATGCAGATGGCAATGGGAAACCACCTCTGTTCACCTCTTGCCTAGAAAGCCCCACAAATGGGAGCTTTGTGGAGTCACCGTGAGTCGGTCGCAAGCCGACAGCATGCTTTATCGTCCGTTGCAGCTCTCTTTTGCTGTCCCTTTATCTAAAGAAGGTTTAGAGTCATGTTGGGGGCAGTGTTCCCTCTAAGCTGAGTTAGAGTGAGCCAGCTCACAGTTTTTTAGCCTCCAGCTCACACATTTTTGTCTTAGCTCAGGAAGGAGGGCTCCAGAGCAAAGTAATTCATGCAGCAGCCAAATCGCTCGCTCACAACTTTAATGCCAGTAGCTTACAAAGTAGAATTTCTGCTCACAAGACTCCACGGCTTAGAGGGAGCATTGGTTGGGGGAGAGGGGCTCTGTGCCGCTTCTATTTTGTTTTCTATACCGTGTGTGAAGCTAAGCAGGTCTGCATCTCATCAGGACCTAGATGGGAGCCCTCCTGTCAACCCTGGAGATAACCCGTCACGCTGGAACCAAAGCGGGCTGCCTGTGTAATCTATAACAAAAATTTCCTGTCCCATATAGAAAGAAGCACAGAGAGAATTTCAGGTCATGTTGCCAGCCCTCATGAAGGGGAAGGGGAAGACAGCAATGAAAGAATGTGGTTAAACCTCAGAAGCCAGACTTCGAGTGTTCTTCTCAGAAGTCCCACAGAGTTTAGTGGGGTTTACTCCCAGATAGCTCTACACAGGCATGCAAATCCAAGTCATAGTTCCTGAATTTATGCCGAGGAGGTGTGTCATCTTTCATAGTTTCTTGCCTGTCCCCATGAGAAATAATAAATCCCCCAAAACAACTAGTTGTGTGGAGGTTTTTTAGAAAGGATGCACAGTTCATGATCTTTTGGGATAGAATCCAGGTTGCTTCCTTCCAGAAGTTTGGTTTTTTAAATGTAAAGAGCTACTGGCATGAAAGTTGTGAGCGAGTGATTTGGCTGCTGCATAAATTAGCTTGCCCTGGAGCCCTCCTTCCTGAGCTAGGACAAAAATGTGTGAGCCGGAGGCTAAGAAACTGAGCTAGCTCACACTAACTCAGCTTAGAGGGAACACTGCACTCATTGCCTGTTTGCATCTATCAGAAGGATCGCAGGCAGTGTTCCCTCTAAGCTTAGTCAGTGTGAGCTAGCTCACAGTTTTTTTAGTCTCCAGCTCACACATTTTTTTTCTTAGCTCAGGAAGGATGGCTCCAGAGCAATCTAGTTTATGCAGAAGCCTAATCCCTCGCTCACAATTTTAACACCAGTCGCTCACAATATAGAATTTTTGCTCACAAGACTCCACAGCTTAGAGGGAACATTGATCGCAGGTAGCTCATGCCCGTGCTATGTGCTGTAGCGTCTGAACTGGGCTTGTCTCTCGCAGTCCCTTTGAAGGCGACTGAGGCTGCCATCTGAATGACCTCTCTTTCCTCCTAGGGGGAGCGTGCCACTGGCTACGGAGTTGCTCTGCTGCTCTCCCTCTTTGGCCGAGCCTCCGAAGACCCTCTCCTGAACATGGTGTCTCCCTTGGGCTGCAACGGAGACTCCGCGGACGACGACATGGAGAGGGATTCCAAGAGGCGCCGTTTGGTTTAAAGTCTCCGCGCCCCTCGGAGACGGCACACTGGAATTACCTCACATTGCACTGACGTGTTCCCAAAACGGTGAAAAGTACCACGTGTCGGAAATGACCATTTTAAAGAGAGAGAAAAAATAATCATCACAAACATTTTTGATTACCCCTCTGATTCTGGAGAAATGCCGTATTCTGCATTGCTTTGAAAACAAACAGACAAAAATGCTTGGGTCTCTACCACAAATGTAAAGACTGTGCTGCCTACATTCTTTACCAAGAAAGGGCAGGGAAGGTTTCTCCTCCTCCGTGTCCTTTTCAGAAGTATCTGAGCCTATCAGTGCAACCGCTTAACTTCTTCTTGCTGATATAGAGTCTTCAGAGGTCGGTCCAGGGCTTCTAATTTCCCCAGGGGGTTTCCTCAGCCCCTCTGCCTTTCGAAATATGATTGTACAGGACAAAATTGGGCTGCCACATTCTCCCCTGGCCACCCCTGAGGCTTGGAGGCGAGGCTTTTCCGGGCCACATTTTCTCTCTGTTCCATCACCTCCCGTCCAGCCTACGTGGGAGTCCTGTTTGCCACAGCAGGTGAGGGAAGAGGCTAGAAGGCCGAGCTGCCAGGGGAGCGGGTGGGAGGAGCTGCAGCAGCCCTCCGCTCGGGTGGGAGGGATTTAAAGTTTGCAAGGCTGTCCACACTGCCAGAGGGCATCCTTGAGAGAGGACCACTTTGGGCTCTGCTTTGGTCAGCAGCATTTCGTTCCCCAGCATGGCACTCCAGGAGGCCTTATTTTCTTAAGAAAAGGCTTTTTTAAAAAAATCCGTTCTTGCATGTTCAGATCTTTTTCTGATCTTCAGGATCACCCAAAGAGTGATCAGGTGCATTTCTCCATCACATTTTTACCTTTCTTCTGCTAACAAACTGTATTAATGCTTAGATATGAAAGTGTTTATCCTGTAGGGAGGGGGCATCACCGTAATAGAATAAAATCCTTCTCTCCTCTCGACGTGCCTGTGGGCTTATTAAATCACACGTCTGACATATTTCTTTTCTACAACCGGCGTAAATAAATGCACGAAGCCACCTTATCCTGAATCAGACCGTTGGTCCACCGATGTAAGTATTGTCTACTCTGACTGGCAGCAGCTCTCTCAGGGTCTCAGTATCCTTTCTCATGACCCAGTACCCAGTCCTTTAACCAGAGTTGCCAAGGACTGGACCTGGGACTGTCTGCATGCCAAGCAGGTGCTCTACCACTAAAGAATGTGTTTTTTAAAAACAATTATTTATTCAATGTATACCTCGCCCTCCCCACCAAGGCAGGTTCAGGCCGGCTTATATAAAATTCAAAATGTTATACCTCACTTTTCTCTACCCTAAGGCGTCTCAGAGCGTTTCACGATCGCCTTCCCTTCCTCTCCCCAAAAGAGGCACCTTGTGAGGCAGGTGGGGCTGAGAGAGTTCTGAGAGAACGGTGACTGGCCCAAGGTCACCCAGCAGGCTTCATGCGGAGGAGGAGGGGGGAATCAAACCTGTCTCCAGATTAGAGGCCGCTGCTGGCTCTTTGCTGAGCCACAGCCCCTCCTGTTGAGGGAAGCTAATGACTAGATAACCCATCTGAACAGTTCATGGAGGAAAGGTTTCTCGGGGGTGGTTAGCCTTGGTTTCAGATTCAGCCGTCACCAGGAAGAGACCTGTGTGGGAGTTTCCTGCGGGGGGAGGTGTCATCTGATTGGACGCTGATGAAGCATGGAGAGTTCTTGCACTGTTGGAATGGGAGGCCTGAGCTATGGAACATCCTTATTTCTTTAATACATTTTTATCCCACTGTTCCTCAGGCAGGGGCCTACATCATTCTCTACTTCTCCATTTTTTCTACTCAACAGCCTTGTGAGGTAGGCGGGGCTGAGAGTGTGTGACTGGCCCAAGATCACCCAGTGAGTTTCCTGCCAGAGTGAGGATTTGAACCTGGGTCTCCTATATCCTCCTTACCGCCAGTGTTCCCTCTAAGCTGAGTTAGTGTGAGCTAGCTCGCAGTTTCTAAGCCTCTGGCTCACACATTTTTGTCTTAGCTCAGGAAGGATGGCTCCAGAGCAAACTAATTGATGCAGCGGCCAAATCGCTCGCTCACAACTTTAATGCCAGTAGCTCACAAAGTAGAATTTTCTGCTCACAAGACTCCACAGCTTAGAGGGGGGCATTGCTTACCACTCTACCACACTGGTTCTGTCTTGGCAGATCAGCTGGGAGGGGCAAGATGTTCACTGCCACTTCTAGGATTGACTGCTGGACCTCCTGATGGCCCCTGGTATTTCTGGCCACTGTGTGACAGAGTGTTGGACTGGACGGGCCATTGGCCTGATCCAACAGTGGCTTCTCTTATGTTCTTATTGCCAGTTCTGGGCTGGGAAATTCCTGGAGATTTGGGGGAGGGGTGGACCCTTGAGAGGTCAGGGTTTGGGGAGGGGAGGGCCTTCCTCAGTGGGGTATAATGCCACACAGTCCACCCTCCGATGCAGCCATGTTTCCAGGGGAACTGACCTCTGTAGTCCGGAGATCAGTTTAAATTCCGACTCAGAGAGATGTACGGGTCTTGCCTGGAGGCTGGCAACCATGCCTTTCCTAATACCTGCTCTCCCGTAGCCATTACCGTAACCTAATCACTTTAGCAGACAGAAGTAGTAGAACACAGAATATCCATACTGATGCAACAAGGGACTGCTGTCTCTATGGGACCAGAACTCCATTGCTCCTCTGGAAGGTCTGAATGGCTCTGACAGTGTTGTTGTATTCTATGTGGTGGATTTTGTTACCCAGCTGGTATCTTAGAGCTGGGTTTCACATTTGGGGTGGGGGAGGCAGGGGTCACACACAGGACACTTCATAGCTCGGTAGCTGTCACACTGTGTCAGTGCCTCAGGTTCAGAGCAAGTGGATTCCTTCACCCTCCTCAAAAATGGCATTGCCGATGTCCTGGAAGAAATATTTGTGGCACAGGAGAGGAAGAAGAAGTGTTTGGATTTATACCCCACCCTTCACTCGGAGTCTCAGAGTGGCTTACAAATTCCTTTCCCTTCCCCCTCCCCACAACAGGACATCCTGTGAGGTAGGTAGGGCTGAGAGAGCTCTTTAGAGAACAGCTCCGAGAGAACTGTGGCTGACTCGAGGTCATCCAGCAGCTGCACGTGGAGGCGTGGGGAATCAAACCCGGTTCTCCCAGATTAGAGTCCGCGCACTTAACCACTACACCAAACTGGCTCAAACGGGCCTGTACTATTTGTTGTGCAATGACCCAGGCGCCTCATCTTTGGTGGAAGTCGGGTGGTCAAGCTTCAAAGCAGCTTCCGTGGATCAATTGTAACATGTCAACCAGTCAGCCCTTAGGGTAGGTAGGGGGCATTTCAGGGTTGTCAAAGATCATCCGTGATCCCCAATGTGGTACGTGTGGACGCCATGCCACCCGCTAATGGTTTTCCTGGTTCCCATATACTTCTTCCCCAAAGCAAATAGCCAGTTCTAGCTTTCCTGTACTGTGTGGGGAAGGAGGTGCTTTAGAAGGGACCCTTTACATCTGCAGAGAGCACCCATTCAGAAAGAAAAAAACTGCCTCCATTGTAGCAGGACATTTGGCTTGCAAACGGAGTGTTTTATTAGTATTATTTATTATTTTCTTCAGCTTCTAGCCCTCCCCCGCAAGCAGGCTCAGGGTGTGTCACGACGTCATATATACACAACAATATCAACCTGTACAAACATATTGAGGTTGCCATCTCCCACCTCCTGTCTCCCACCTGCCGGCCATCCAACCATCGGCAACCGGCCATATCCATCTGTGTTAATGGGTCAGAACTTCCACCAGTAGCTATAACCACTGTTTTAAAATCTTTATACTGTGCTTTTAAACTTCATTGTAGTTGCTGAAAGATGGTGTCACTTGCCCTGAGCCCACACAGGGGATGGGTGGAATACAAATACGAAAAATAAATACATATATAAATAAAAACAATAAAATCCAGTCTCACCATTTACACTACACTAGTAGTCCACTATCGATGGCCACCGATCATGCATCTACTCCCGGGCTCCTTTGTCTGTACAGGTAGATGTAACTAAAGCTGGGGGGGGGGCAGACGGGAGCAGTGCCAGATGGAACCAGTGCTGGTGGAGGAAGCGGAGATGGGGGAGGCCAATACAGCCTGGATTCCCGCCGCCTCAACCAAAGGCCCGGTTTTACGGTAACTGAGGAAGCACTGACGGTTTGGTGTTAAACTGACTTCTTCTCTTTTTCAGCACGCTGTCACCGATGCTGCCCCCAGGGTAGTCACTGAAGTTTGGCTGAATCCTTGCCAGGAAAGAAAGTCCCGTAGATCTAGACACTCTCCACCCCACCTACATACATGAGTGCCGTGAAGTCGCAGCCAACGTATGGCGACCCCAGCAAGGGGCCTTCAAGGCAAGCGAGAAGCAGAGGTGGTTTGCCGTTGCCTTCCTCTGCAGAGCCTTCCTTGGTGGTCTCTTGTCCAAGTATTGACCCTGCTTAGCTTCCAAGGTCTGACAAGATCGAGCTATATCCTGCCCCACCCCCCCCCCCCCCAGCACAACATCCAAAAAGTATACATCAGGTATTTTCTCTTCCTGTATTTTGTGCTAGACAATGGCACACATGGTTCACAATACCTACGTGGATCAGACTCAGAATTTCTGGCACCAAAGAAATTACTTAGAAGGTACATGGAATTAGCTTGTCCTGCATGCAGCACTCAAATTGCAACCTCTGCTCCATGTATCGCAATGGTTTCCTTCCCCCCCCCAAAAAATGTCTCTTTCTGAGGTGAGGCACTGTCCCCCGCCCTACCCCACAATCCCACTTCACTGTTGCTTGCGTTCTCTGGTCCACTTGATCATGGTCTCAGGAGACCGATACAGGAAAATCAGCTTCGCAAAGAGCTGCTCTTCCAGCTCCAGCTCCCCCGCCTCCCGTACCAGGAAGATATCGGTGCAGAGTTTCAGGATACGATCCACACAGGGCAGCTCTTCGAACATTATGGAGCGTGAGATCCCATTGAAGAACTCTCGGATGAACTTCCCGATGACTAGAACGACAGACATGTAGAGACCCACAATGCTGGAGAAGACAGAAAGAGACAAGAATATTATTAATGTTACATTGTTTGTATTGTTTGGGATTCTCTGTATCATTGTTTTATATTCATTTAATAATAAAAATGATTAAATTTCAAAAAAAGAAGGAAAAAGAAAGAGAGAGGACAAGTTAAGAGCACTGTTCGCAGAGTATTTGGCTGAAGAAGTCAAAGGACAAAGAGCGCTTGTAATAAGTCAACCCACCAGTACCTATGAAGAAAGGTTAAGGCGCTTGGTGATTAACACACGGAATTCACTGCCACAGGAGGTGGTGGGTGCTACAAGCATGGACGGCTTCAAAAGGGAATTGGATAAACATATGGAGCAGAGGTCCATCGGTGGCTATTAGCCACAAGGTATAGGTAGGAACTCTCAGTCTGGGGCAAGTAATGCTCTGTATTCTTGGTGCTTGGAGGGGGCAACAGTCGGAGGGCTCCTAGTGTCCTGGCCCCACTGATGGACCTCCTGATGGCACCTGGTATTTTTGGCCACTGTGTGACCAGTGTTCCCTCTAAGCTGAGTTCGTGTGAGCTAGCTCAGTTTTTTAGCCTCCAGCTCACATATTATTGTCCTAGCTCAAGAAGGATGGCTCCAGAGCATACTAATTTATGCAGTAGCCAAATTGCTTGCTCACAACTTTAATGCCAGTAGCTCATAAAGTCGGGTTTTTTTGCTCACAAGACTCCACAGCTTAGAGGGAGCATTGTGTGTGACACAGAGTGTTGGACTGGACGGGCCATTGGTCTGATCCAACACTGGCTTCTCTTATGTTCTTACCTAAATATTTGCCTCGAAAAGTGCAGAACAGGCTACCAAGCTAAAAGGGCTTCCTATATGTGTCCTCTGTTCAGCTTTCCTTATGGATAGTGGGTTGGACCCTGCAGATTCTGTTCTGCAAATGGCTCTTGCATCCTGGGAAGGCTCCTTTTGCCATGCGAAGGTGCTGTCGTTACTGGAATAAGGTCACAGGATCCAGCCCCACTGTGCCTGTACTAGCCATTTCACTCTGCATCATTTAAAATGCTGTTAAGTCTTGTGGCTCCTCCCTTACCCTGCTGGCTGGGAAGGAAATAGGGAAGAGTTTGCTAACTTCCTAGTAACAGCTGCATGACATCTCACTTTGTTCTCCTGCTCCACAGCTGATTAAGGCCTCGGTTTGTCCAGAGGCACAAACCAAAGATCTACTGTCCTTTGGCTCTCAGCCCAAGGATGCTGCCGGCAGGAAGATCAGTCAGGGGAAAATGTCCTGCTCTAGTCTCCCTTCCCCCCCTTTTCTTATTTCTTTTCTTTTTGTATTGTATGCTGCTTTGGATTCCCCACTGAGGACAAAAGCGGGATACAAATAATTAAAAAAATTAAAAGCTAGCCAATCCTGGGCACGTAGAGGGGCCACCACTTCTAAGTCCTTGGGTTTGGTTCGGTCTTTCACTGCAAAAAGTAGGGTTTTCCAGGTCATGCCTGGCAACTGGTAGGAGGTTCAAGGGGTGGGGACACGGGAGGGACACACCGCTCCATACATCTCTATGTCACTCCTGGGAAAATCCCAGAAGCAACACCAGGTACCTCTAGGAATCGCCGGCAATTCCTAGAGCTACCCCACATCACTTCTGGGTTTTCTCTGGAAGTGACATAGAGATGCACAGGACTCCGACTCCTGTCCCGTTAGGGTTCCCAAGTACTTACCGTGATCCAGCGGGGAAAACATGCTCCCCGGCCAGACCATTCCTCCCTGTAATGCACCATGCCGTCGCCAGGAAGTGACGCCGGGCAACGCTCTGGCAATGGGACTGAAAACTCGATGGTACCATCGAGTTTCCAGCCCCATTGCCAGAGCGTCACCCGGCGTCACTTCCTGGTGACATCATGGTGTGACGCGTCTGTTGTCCCCGCAGGAATGATCCTGCAAGGACGTCTGTGTCCCCCGCCGAATCACAGTAAGTACTTGGGAAGCCTGTGTCCCCCCCCCCCCTTGGAGCAGCAGTGGGCCATAGCGGGAGGACAGGCAGCCCAAATAATTAACAAAAGTGACACTTTCTGCAGGCTGATAATTCCAGAGGGTAAACTGTGTTTGTTTCTCTCTGGAAAAATAAACAGAAGTCTAACAGAACCTTAAGGCTAACAACATTTTATCCCAGAAAGTGTCTGTGAAGAAGCAAGACCTAGTCCAGGAAAGCTCAGGCTGGAATAAAATGTTGCTCGTCTTTCAAGATGAAACTGGACTCCTGTTCAATGCTTCGTGTTCTCTCCCTTAGCTTCCGTCCAGCTTGCTCTCTTTATATTACCAGAGAGCTTTCCTTAGCAGAGTATTGCCACTGCAGAAACAGGAGGCAGGCACACAAAGGGATCTTGCTACGGACAGATACAAGGATGAGACAGCCCCTGTAGAGGACAGCAAAGGTCATCATTCAGAGACTTTCTGGAAGCAAGAGTGAAGGTTTTTTATCAGTACAGAGAGGGAAGTAAACAGACATCTTGTTCTTATCCAGGTTTAAGAACATACGAAGAGCCCTGCTGGATCAGACCAGTGGGCCGTCTAGTCCAGCAACCCGTTTCACACACAGTTCTGCGGCTCGGCACACAGTTTGCACAGAGAACAGAAAGAAAAAAGCCAGTGGGAAGAATATGTTCCTTGTGCAGGGACAGAAGATATTAAGCCTAGCCAGCCAGGGAATTCAAGCCCCTCTTGGCTGGGCCCTTCCTGCATAATAAAAAATGTGCCTGACCCCCCACATTTGCCCTTTAGCATGATATTCCCACAAGCACAGAACCCCAGTTCGAGGTGTTGGGTCTGACCAGCTGTTTTACAGCCTGGGCCCTGCATACTTGAATATACCAGACCTGCCAGGAGCCCAGATGGACCTTAGCATCTTCACGACAGGCGTCTTTCCCCTGCTTAAAGAAGGTGTGACTCAGAATTAGACTGGGGCGTGAAGATGGGCCCTGGAACAAGCCAAGCTGCATGAGCATATGAGCACCTGAGGCCGCCTTATACGGTATAAGGTTTGAATACCAAACCAGATGATCTGTCCATCAAAGTCAGTATTCTCTTCCCAGACTGGCAGCGGCTCTCCAGGGTCTCAGGCGGAGGTCTTTCACATCACATCTGCCTCATCCCCTTAACTGGAGATGCCAGGGATTGAACCTGAGACCTTCTGCATGCCAGGCGGGTACTCTCCCCCAATGAGCCACAGCCAAGTTGTGTTACACGTCAAAGCTGCATGGATCATTCAGCTCAGCGGTGCAAAAAACTGGATCATCATCTCACCCACTGCTTCCTCCTGAAAACTCCTGGAGAACCGGAAAAGCCTTCTACGAAGTTGTTTGACTTGTGCATGGTAGCATTGTGAGCTTTGGTTCCAGGAAAAAAATAATCTGCCTGAAGAAGAATTTATCGAAACACGCAACTTTTGCCTGGGAGGCAGGTTGCTTCGATGCTTGCTCTTTTCAGAAATCAAAACAGCCTACAATATTGGCATTGACGAGACGACTGCTGCAACTTTCATCAGAAAGCAAGATACTCTACAGCATTAAATCCTGTCTGCATATTCATCTCTGTAGCTTTTCTACGAGATATATATTGTTCTTTAGGTTTTTGTTATCAATTTACTACAATTAATAAGATACGCTAGGGTCTTTATTGTATATTTAAGTATATGACTTAGACGAATATATGAAGGCATAGCAGCGTATCAGAACTGTGTGCTTTGTTTTAACACAGTGTTTTTCCACGTTTGCGCCTCCTGAAAACTGGCGGCAGTGTGAGAAAAGAACAAACACTATTCACCATTGCTGGTGAAGTGGCTGAGCCAAGAAGCCCCCAACGGTCTAGCAGAGTCACAAAACTTGTTTAGGAGGAGGAGAGGAAGAGGGAGATTGGATTTATACCCCGCCCTTCACTTGGAGTCTCAGAGTGGCTTACAAACTCCTTCCCCTTCCCCTCCCCACAACAGACCCCCTGTGAGGTGGGCGGGGCTGAGAGAACTCTGACACAAACTGCTCTTTTTCAAGGACAGCTGTGCCAGAGCTTGCGGCTGACCCAAGGTCACATCAGCAAGTGCAAGTGGAGGAGTGGGGAATCAAACCCGGTTCTCCCAGATTAGAGCCCACACACTGAACCACTACACCAAACTGGCTTTATGCTTGCTCCTGGCCACCACCAGCCCTCTAGGGCAATGGCCTGCTGGGAAATTTCCCTGTAACTCAAATGGCCAGTCTACCCCTGGTGAGACCCATGACTGCCAGGGCAAGAATGTTTCCTATATGGTGGCCCCATCCTTATGGAACGAGCTGTCCCTTGAAGTAAGCTCCGCCTCTTGTCTCATCCAGGTTAAGCCTGTATTGTTTGAATGGATAACGTGCCATCGAGTTGCAACTGGTTCACAGCGACCCTATCCATGGAGGGCCAAGGCAAGAGATAAGCAGAACTGGTTTGCCACGGCCTTCCTTCGTAGAGTGACCCCAGCCTTCCTTGGCGGTCTCCCATCCAAATACTGACTGTGGCTACAAGCATGTACGGTTTCAAAAGGGAATTAGATAAGCATATGGAGCAGAGGTCCATCAGTGGCTATTAGCCACAAGGTATTGATAGGGGTTCTGGGGCAAGTGATGCTCTGTCTTCTTGGGGCTTGGGGGGGGTCAACAGTGGGAGGGCTTCTAATATTCTGGCTCCACTGGTGGACCTCCTGATGGCACCTGGTATTTCTGGCCACTGTGTGATACAGAGTGTTGGACTGGATGGGCCTTTGGCCTGATCCAACATTGGCGTCTCTTATGTTCTTATATTCTTATGTGGCCAACTGTGCTCAGCTCTCAATCAGTCATTCAGCCCAGCAGGCTTCCCTCGCTCTTGTTTCAGTGACATGGACATTTATGCAAACTCATTGCCATCATTATCCAAGCCGTTTCATCCAGCCCTTCCTCCAAAGACCTCATAGGGGCAACACCTGGTTCTCCTCCCGCCCCAACATCCTTATCCCTGCACCACTGGGATTTTCCCTGAAAGGCTTGTCTTCCAGAGACGGGAGCAGAAGAACTGAAGATGCTCAGTGGGGCCATGAGGAACTTTCCATACACTCTCAAGTCCCGGAGAAGAGCTTTTTTTGGTTGTACAACAGCATATTGTTCCCCACAGAATCGCGGCCCAAAGGTTAATTTCTTCCTGCTACAAGCTGCTGGAAGGATCGGGCTGTGAACTAGTACAGACATCGGAGGGCAATACAGTCAGTAAAGGGCTAGACCTTCCCTTTGTTCACCCTTGAAGCTGTCCCTTCGTTACTCAGAATTATGGTGGCTGACCTCCAGGTGGTGAACAACCAATACAGACTATACAAACGACCGTGATATAATTAGCAAGATATTATCTTATGGGAATTTTAATGTATTTACTATAAAGATTTTTTAACATGAATAGATATCAGAGAATTTTACAATACATATAATTCCTCTATGATGAACAAAGTGCTTAGGTCAAATAACTGTCCATGTAGCTGAACTTCTAATGGTCGACTTCTTCATCCACTCAACGTTCTACGTGGCAATCCCTCCTCTCGGCAGTTGTGGACGTGCTGTCGCTATTAATAGAAGTGGATAAATGAGGTGGCTTTGACTGCCGAGAGGAAGAACTGCCACGTAGAACTTTGAGTGGATGAAGAAGTCGACCATTAGAAGTTCAGAGTGACTGTATGGACAGTTATTTGACCTAAGCACTTTGGTCAGCATAGAGGAAATCTATGTATTGTAAAATCCTTTGGTATCTGTTAATGTTAAAAGTATTTACAATAAATACATTAAAATTTCCATTAAATAATATCTTAGTAATTATATCACAGCACGTCTTCAAGAGGGAATTGGATAAACATATGGAGCAGAGGTCCATCGGTGGCTATTAGCCACAAGGTATAGGTAGGAACTCTCAGTCTGGGGCAAGTAATGCTCTGTATTCTTGGTGCTTGGAGGGGGCAACAGTCGGAGGGCTCCTAGTGTCCTGGCCCCACTGATGGACCTCCTGATGGCACCTGGTATTTTTGGCCACTGTGTGACCAGTGTTCCCTCTAAGCTGAGTTCGTGTGAGCTAGCTCAGTTTTTTAGCCTCCAGCTCACACATTATTGTCCTAGCTCAAGAAGGATGGCTCCAGAGCATACTAATTTATGCAGTAGCCAAATTGCTTGCTCACAACTTTAATGCCAGTAGCTCATAAAGTCGGGGTTTTTTGCTCACAAGACTCCACAGCTTAGAGGGAGCATTGTGTGTGACACAGAGTGTTGGACTGGATGGGCCATTGGTCTGATCCAACACTGGCTTCTCTTATGTTCTTACCTAAATATTTGCCTCGAAAAGTGCAGAACAGGCTACCAAGCTAAAAGGGCTTCCTATATGTGTCCTCTGTTCAGCCTTCCTTATGGATAGTGGGTTGGACCCCGCAGATTCTGTTCCGCAGAACTGTTCAGGCTGTTCTCAACCCAGAGTTGGCAATCCTACCCAGAATGCTATTCTTAGGGGTTCCTTCCTTCTGGTCACTTTCCTTCTCTCTCTCTCTCTCTGTTCTTCTGTCCATCCTGAGAGCCGGTCATGCTTTCCACAATCTCTATCCATCCTAGCTTAGATAGATAGTTACGAGCCTTTGCCCTTCCTATCTAGTATGGAGTTCTCTTACAAGAAAGAGATTCTATTTCTTTGCTAAGTAACAGACCTCCGTGTGAACTTATTCTTCAGACAGCCAGACTATAGAGTCCTGCTGTGCAGAGACTCAGCTCTGCTTTCACAGGCCACAAGAGACATCTTTGAAAGGATGTGGCCTGTGTCGTGTGCGGACACTGCGGAAGCAAAGCAAAGCTCCAGCTGATTTGCATTTCACTGTGGCGCCCTTACCCGTGTGCTGCCAGGAATCCCAGGCTGGAAGGGCTGACCTTATCGTTGAAGATGTAGAGCTCCATATTTTTGCTGCAATCGTTACCCGAACAGCCGAGCCTCTGCTCCTGAACGATCCACCACTCGGAAACGTGGCTTGAGGAGCCGCTGGTAGGCAGCCGCTGAAGTTTTATGAGGATGTCTCTGTAGAAGGCCAACTTGTCAAGGTCCTTTGGCTTGGAATGGGCTGTTTCCAACAATGCAAACCAGAGCTATGGTTATTCCCTTCCTGCCCCCATCTTCTACCCAATCCTTGTGTACAGTGGAACAGTGCTGAGAGCAGAGAGTGGGAGTAGCAAGGGTGCCAGGCCTCTTGGTGTATGGCAGGGAGGCCTCCCACAGGCAGCTGTCCTTGCCCGCCGCTGCTCCAACTGGTGGGGGGAGAATTTTTTAAAAAAACCCTCAGTATCACGTGAGCCGCTACATCCATTTCTGGGGGTGGGAGGAACTAGAGGGGACATAGGGTAGCTCTAGGGATTCTTACAGGTAACCTACTTCAATCTGGATTTTCCACAGAAGTGACACAGCGGTGCAACACAATGTCACAGACTCCCCCTGTACCCATCCCTGACCGGCCAGTTGCCAGACATGGCCTGGCAAGCCTAGGGAATAAAGGACCCCCCCTCTACACCACTTTAAGGACTCTGCCACTCTCCATCTAATTCCACACTCCAGATCACATGAGAGGCTTTGCATCCCCATTTCAGCCAAAACCATGCACTAAAGAGGTGAACACCCCCCACACACACACACACGAGCTTGACTGTAGAGGGCGACAAGGTGATCTCCAGTGCTATCCTAATCCTAAATCCTTGGTTTTAGAAGGATGTAACTCTGTGCATGATTTTAATGAATCTATAGTCGGTCTCCCGAATACTCACTAAATGCAGGGCCAAACGAGTGTATTGTAAGATAGCATTGCCCCTGTCATGTAGAAAGGAGGTGGGTGGGTTTTCATAACAAACAAGGTGACGAGTACAAGCCACCCTTCCCCCCGGATTTACCTCCCCAAGAACTTTTCTACTTTGCTGAGCTTTCATATGGGAAGTGATCTCAGTTGGCCACAAAGTGTTTGGGCGGCTGGTGGGTAGGGACTGTGGCTCAGCAGATGAGCCTCTGCATTGCATGCAGAAAGTCCCGGGTTCAAGCTCTAGCATCTCCAGTTAAAGAGGACCAGGCAGTCGGTGATGGGAAAGACCTTTTGCCTGAGACCCTGGAGAACCGCTGCCAGTCTGAGTAGACAATACTGGCCTTGATGGACTGATGGCCTGACTCAGTATGGCCTGACTCAGTATGGCCTAATGGCCTGACTCAAATGAATAAATATAATAAATAAATAAATAAATAAGTATACGGCAGCTTCATGTGGGTATGTGGAGAGTTCTGTGACTTTTACCCTGTACTCCTTTTGCTCTTAAAAATCCAGCAACCCCACTTCTTTTTCTGTGTTTTTGGAACTGCTATTTGCCCTTTTCCTCCACTGAAAAGCAGGACCCAAAGTGGGGTATAGCGAAAACTACGCTCATACACATGGAGTTGCTATGGCCTCATCTAGTATGGCCAATGTTAATTGTTTTTGTTGTTGTTTTAAAGGAAGAATGTCAGGAACCT